ATTCACATCCTCCTCCACCTATTATTTATCTGTTGTTCCCTTTCTCCTCCTCCTCCTCACCCTACTCACCTTTTCATCTCTTCCTTTTCCTGCTCCTTTTCTTTCTCCTCCTCTTTCTCCACCTCTTCTCTCTCCTCCTTTGAACCTATTCCCCATTCCTTCTACCTCCCTCTACCCACCGACCCCTTCGAGATTGTGTGAATGAAGGAAGGGGAAGATGTGAGGGGAGAGGGAGAGAGGTGTGAGACGAAATGAGAAGAGGGGAGTGGGGTGAGCGGGCTTGAGGAAGAGAGGGGTAGTAGTGAGAGGGCCTGGGGAGTAGGAAGGAGAGAGGGAAAGGAGTGAGAGGGCTTGGGGAGTAGGAAAGAGGGCAGAAGAGAGGGACAAAGTGTCAGTCTAGGCGTTATGTCACTTACCAGCCTTCACCTAGAGATTTTTTTAAACCCATGAAGTTCTGTTTTGTTTACATTTCACACCGCGGATCTGAGTCCCTGTGAAAATATGTGATAAATATGGACAGCACGTAGTCGATACATCTACCCTATTGGTTTAACACTACCAGATATATGTCAATAGTGGTGTACGTACGTGTGAACTAAACTTTGTGAGATGGAGAAATATTTGTAAATCGTGGAATGTGTATAGAGCAAATGATTTTAAGAGTTTTATTGGTGTATGTATTATTAAAGATGGTTCCATGGTGTCGCTTTTTATGGTGTTTTAAAGTCTGTAGGGAGTTCAGTTGTGGTTATTATATCTACCTGAACTAGACTGAAGGGTTAATGAGACTTGTGCTACAGGTGTGTCACAGGTGTATGGAGAAGCTCAACAGAGAGAGAGAGAGAGAGAGAGAGAGAGAGAGAGAGAGAGAGAGAGAGACAGAGAGTTCATCTTTTTAGATCTTTCCCGGGGTAAGTTTGAATCCTTAATGAACCGTATTTATTCTGTGACCCATGGAGTGACCCGAACCCATCCCCTGTGACCCATGGCGAGGAGGTCACAGTCACCCTCACCTGTGGTACATAACACCTGTAGTGTTGGCCAAAGGTGTCGTATAATAATGAGGTGTTGCTGCTGACGTGATGTAACTGCTATTGTGGGTAGCATAAATGCCCCTACCCTCCCTCCCTACCTACCTACCTACCTACCTACCTTTGAAGCTACACCACCTGAATAGCCTGATATCACCCTGACGTCATGTTTTGTTTCTCCCCCGGTGCATTGTGGGTCGATTGAGTGGATATATTTAAAGGTAACTAATAACCAAAAACAATAACACTAGTATTTTTAAGAACTCTAGTAGATATATTGTTTTGTTTTTCCTACGCACTCAAACACCATCGCTAAAATGGCCACTTGTAGTTCCTTAAACGATGTTATCTCTTGGACTTGTGCCGCGCGTCAGCTGTTTTGCTTTTGTTTATTTTCGTGACGTCACAGTTTAGTAAAGAGGGGCCAATGAGGGTTGTTGTTGAGTTGTGGTGGTGGTGGTGGTTATTCTCTTAGTTAGTTAGGTAGTTAGTGGTGTTAATGTTGTTTCTGTTGGTTGATGTTACTACAGAAATAAATGTTGACCTTGGTGTCTGAAATGAATGATGTGTATACTAAAATGAATGTTTGTTGATGTTGAAACTAGTAATAATGTTGACTCCATTAGTACACTATTATTCCCATTGACTTAATTGAGAGAGAGAGAGAGAAAATTTACTACTGAATTCACTTTATCTTAATGCAGCTTAACGACGAGGAATACTCTCTCTCTCTCTCTCTCTCTCTCTCTCTCTCTCTCTCTCTCTCTCTCTCTCTCTCTCTCTCTCTGGATCTTAGGACACGAGAGAGACATACAGTTAATTAAAGGTAAATACAGGTGTGATTATTTCTCAAACCGGTTAAATATCCTCATCTGATTAGTATTTAAGTTACTGATGCTGTACATGTTACTTAATGAGATGTTATTGTTACTGTTACTACTGTTAAATGTTAGTTATTTATGTTGTTGATGGTGTTACTTAAGGATGGGATTGTTACGTTACCGATTCTGTCACTACCTCCCTAAAAAGTTCCTGATTCCTCTTGGTGACGTTGTTGTTGCTGCTTCTGTTACTTACTGACATAACCACTTCAAACACCCCCACCCCTCGCCCCCTCTAAATGTTCCTGATGAAACTTGTTACTTGGAAGGAATCACAGTAGCCTGAATGTCCTCTCTGTCAACCCCCCCTCCCCATCCCCAAATTCACCCCCTACAAACCCCTACACCCCACAAACCCCTACACCCCCAAACCCCTACACCCCCACAAACCCCCTGCCCCCCACCAAACACACAAACCCCCACAAACGACCCGGGAAACTCAACACCCAATATAATAACACAGTCTGGTGGTATCTGGAACTCCTTTGGCGTTATGTGAGTATTGTGTGGATAATTATAAGTTACTCGTCTTTTATAGCAATAATAATAATAATATACTAACTCTCTCTCTCTTTCTTTACCTCACAGGACAGTTCCTCAGGGATGCCGGTCACACTCAAGGTGGACCCTCAAGGATTCTACCTGTACTGGAAGAACGGCAGTAACCCCGATGTAAGTACCAACATCCTCCTCGACCCTCCTTCCTCATCCTCCTCCTCGAACCTCCTTCGTCACCCTCCTCACCCTCCTCCTCCTTGAACCTCTTCCTCACCCTCCTTCCCCACCCTCGAGTAGTACCCCCGAGATGATCAATATTTTACCTCCCAAGTTTTCTGCATAATTCTGCAGAAAAAAAGGCATTTGTTCTAAGTGTTGTTCCGCCATTACGCTTTAGTGTATAACTCAACAGATTGGGAATATATTGTTGAGGGAATTAAATATCAGGTGTGTGTGTGTGTGTGTGTGTGTGTGTGTGTGTGTGTGTGGCGTGTGTGTGTGTGTGTGTATACATTACTCAGACTTTTGCTAGAATCATCTCATCATCATCATCATCATCATCATCATCATCATCATCATCATCATCGTACCACCATCATCATGTCACAACCTCATGAAGGTGGATGATGGAAGCAGAGACTTCACACAGCTTCATGGCAATGCATCTTATCATCTTGTTTTTAGGATTGATTTTACCCCTCCCCACCCTCTCCCCCTCTGTGTCTTGCGAGGTTTGTGCTATACAGTCCAGACGAGGAACAATGGCCCAAGTGCTCGTTAGCCAGACAGTCAAGTGGTTGGTGGTGGGTCGAGGGCTCTCTCTCTCTCTCTCTCTCTCTCTCTCTCTCTCTCTCTCTCTCTCTCTCTCTCTCTCTCCTGGGGGTGCAGAAGGGTGGAGCGCCTCTGTCTGAAAATCGATGTGTCGTCAGTGCCCAGGGCGTAGAGTTTTTGTAGTAAGTACTGAAAGAGGTGGGGGTCATGTTTCTCTCTCTCTCTCTCTCTCTCTCTCTCTCTCTCTCTCTCTCTCTCTACCTTCACCTATGAGTATAATTAACGAGTACAGTCTTTAAGGTAAGAACAGATAGTACTGCTTTATACACTTCATAGAGGGAGAGAGAGAGGGTGAAGGGAGAATGTCTCAGTTCATCATAGACCTCCATCATCACAGAAACTGCATTACTATATATTATACCAAGAGCTTAAGCATACCTGTAGGTGGAGCGTATACAAATAAACCCATGCAGGTGTTGATTGTTAGCCATCCACTTAGCTCGGTACTCGTCTGTGTATTAGCGAATCACTCAGCTACACACACTGAGGTAATTCATATGCTCTCTCTCTCGGACCGTACGTAATATTTACTTTTTTGTCTTATACTTTCTGTCTACTTTCTCTACTTTCCTACCCGTACGGTGAGATGATAATATACTTTCTCTAGTTTTCTACCTTCGTGTTTGAGATCAGATAGAGGGTGATGCAGTTGGTGTAGATGTTTGTTAAGGGAATGAAAGAATGTATGTGATTTATCGTTCATTTAGGTTAGGTTAGGTTAGGTTGTGAGGTGGTGGGAGGGTTTGAGAGAGGGTATGAGCTGCAGTGGGAGGGGTGGGAAAGTATACGTAATGGAACAGAAAGAGACAGAGACAGACGGAACGGAAGAGGAAAGAAGAAGACGGAGAAGGAGGAGACAGCAGCAAGATTGGATCTGGCCGGTACATTAGTCTCTGCCGGGAGAGGTGTCGCCATTGGAAACCGATTGATGGTGTACTCAGATACCAACACCGTGTGCCTGTGTGTGTGTGTGCGCGTGTGTGTGCGTGTATGTGTGTACCAATTTTTCTTCATTTCCTTTCAAGTATATCCCTCTCTTCCTCAGTTCTCTTCCTTTTCTCCTCTTCTTTCTCTCTCCTCTCCAACATCCTACAGTGGCGTATGCACACTCCACCCACCTCTGACACACTCACATCAAAAGGAAAATGAAAAAAAAAAAGTTTTGGTTGGCGTGACATTACCAAGAATGTATTTCCAGACTTCCTTGCCTCATCACCTGAACACTGGGCCAGAAAATAGTGTCTGGGGAAGAGGAGAGAGAGAGAGGGAGGGGTGGGGGAAGAAATAGAGGGGAAAGATGGGAAGAAAGGGAGAAAAGTAAAAGGGGAGGGAAGGGGAGAAAAGGAGAAAGGAAGGGAAGGTGCCATGAAATTACTCTCTCTCTCTCTCTCTCTCTCTCTCCTCTCTCTCTCTCTCTCTCTCTCTCTCTCTCTCTCTCTCTCTCTCTCTCTCTCTCTCTCTGGTATCCTACACTCAGCCAAAGGTGACCTGATGTAAGAATGTGACCTCTTGTGACCTCCTCCTCCTCCTCTTGTCACTTGTGAGGTATATATATATTAGTTCACACGTGACGTCACCTCGTATAACTGTTCATTGTTTACTTGTTTTATATTTTGGGGGAAATTGGATTCTGTTCAGTGTTGTGATTGGCTGCGACGGCGATATATATATATAAGATGTACTATAATGGGTTAATAGCCAATTTATATAGCAAGGTGTAAGGTAGTTGAGTGTGTGTGTGTGTGTGTGTGTGTGTGTGTGTGTGTGTGTGTGTTTGTACATTACTGATTGATGCCTAGTGCTCAGCCTTCACTCATGGCGGACGTTGATGTTGCTGGTACTCAAGGATTTTTGTTAACCTTTCCTCGTGTGTGTGTGTCTGTCTCTGCTGTCCGGTCGGTCGGTCGGTCGGTCGGTCGGTCGGTCGGTCTGAGGAAAGGTTGAAGGGGTATAGAGAGTTGATGAGGGTATAGGGAAGGAAATTGATGGGGGTTATAAAGGAAGGTACGTGAAGGGTGGTTGATGGGGTGGTATGGGAAGGGGGGATTTATGGGGTGGGAGGTGAAGGGGAGGTTGATGGGGAGGAACTTGAAGGGGCAGTTATCCCTCGACCAGTCAAAAGGAATAATGTAATTCTGCCTTTTATTTTTATTTTTATCGTTTACTTTTCTCTCCTGTTTGTTTTATTACTGTTTTTGTCTTGTCACCTCATTCATTATATACGTGGTTGTGTATTTGTCGTTGTTGTTGTTGCTGTAGTTGTTGTTGTTGTTGAAGACCTTTTGTACTTTGTCTGAACGTGTCCTTGTACTTAGCCTTTTGGTCTGTACGTGTCCTTAACCTAACTGAAACACAACAACAACACAATAACAAAACAACTACTGTATTAACACTTTCAAGAATGTAAACACAAAAAGATCTGTTATGTTGTACAGGAACAAAACACTTGAATACCTGGTTCTAATCCACACACACACACACACACACACACACACAGGAGAGAGAGGTAAGCTACATCATAATTATTTACACTCATAGAAAACGGAGGCATTAAGGATAGACTTAGATATATCGATATTTTAATCACTAAAAAAAAAAATCATTACTTATGGGGGAGACTTAAATAAAGGTTTACAGGTGAGAATTATACCTCCACAACCTTTCAATAATCATTAATCAATTATACTATAGTTGTTTTATGTTACCTTGCGGATTATAGACACTTGTTATAGCCAGAAATAGGTGGTGGTGGGTGAGGGAAGGGGGTGTTGTACTCTGGTGGGTAGTAAAAGTGGTATTTGATTCCATATACACACGAACAATGCCCCGAGGTGAGGGAGAATGACCACGGCACTTAGGCAGTGTGTCGAAAATATAAGTGTTTTACTGTCCGGGTGCCAATGGTGAGGGGAGTGCCAGGTTGTGGCTGTTGGGTGAGGAATATTGGGCATGTGTGTATGTGTGTGTGTGTGTGTGTGTGTGTGTGTGTGTGTGTGTGTGTGTGTGTAGTGCAGTGGGGTAGGGTAAGGTGGACGTGTATTACGGCGGGTGGTAGGGAGTAGGTAGCCTGAAGTGAGGGCGGCAGAGATAAACTGAACCACGAGTGGGGATCAGTGCCACCCACCCACCCACCCACCCACCCACTCACTCACACTTGGGCGGGCAGCTTCCACAAGAGTAATGGGCGGCCTCTACCACACACACACACACTCCTCCACACAAATTGTTTTCACGCTGGCGAATATATTCATGTTGTGCCCTTGTTACCCGCTCAGTGTTATCGGGACCTGGCCAGCACTCCACCAGGCCACTACACTACTGGTATACTGCTGCTGGTGTGGTGGTAGTATACTGCTGCTGCTGGTGTGGTGGTAGTGGTATAATGCAGCTGGTATAATGGTTATGGTATACTGCAGCTGGTATAATGGTAGTGGTATAATGCTAGCTGGTCTAATGCAGCTGGTATAATGCAACTGGTATAATTGTAGCTGGTATAATGATGGTATACTACAGCTGGTGCAATGGTAGTAGTACAATGGTAGTGGTATAATGCTAGCTGGTATAATGCAGCTGGTATAATTGTAGCTGGTATAATGATGGTATACTACAGCTGGTGTATATTACTGGTGTTAACGACGAGGGTAGTGGTACAGTCTCTATATTAACCTCATTAAATTCATTAAATAATCTTGATAACGAGTGGGAAGAGGGGGTTGAGAGGGGTGAGAGGGGTTAAGTGGCACAGGTAACTGGCACTAGTTGTATTAATTACCTGTACGTTAGCTAATTATGTTGTGAGGTGCGTGACTGGGGGCGGGTGGGGGTGTGTGCTCTATGATGTTTTTGTGTTTTGAGACAGACAGACAGACAGACAGACAGACAGACAGACAGACAGAAAGAGAAAAGGGTAGGGATGATAGCTGTAGGGGGGATGTGTAGGGATGTGTAGGGATGTGGTTAGAGATGTGGTTAGGATGTATAATGTAGGTAATGTAAAATAAGGTATAGTAAGAATGTGTGTTTATAGAACAAGTTATGTTGGCTATACTGACAGTCTTTCAGGTGCTGTGTTGGCTATACTGACAGTCTTCCAGGTGCTGTGTTGGCTATACTGACAGTCTTCCAGGTGCTGTGTTTGGCTATGCTGACAGTCTTCCAGGTGCTGTGTTGGCTATGCTGACAGTCTTCCAGGTGCTGTGTTGGCTATACTGACAGTCTTCCAGGTGCTGTGTTGGCTATACTGACAGTCTTTGTCTCCAGGTGCTGTGCTGGCTATACTGACAGTCTTCCAGGTGCTGTGTTGGCTATACTGACAGTCTTCCAGGTGCTGTGTTGGCTATACT